CTCAGTTACAGAAAACTAGTTCAAAGCCTTTTTCAACTGATATATAAACCATGTTTTCATGGATTTAAATATCAATCAGTACGTACACATCCACTGGATTAAGTGCAAAGACATTATAAACAGTCTTAGAAAAACATGACCTTGTGCCATGCCAAAATACCATATATCCTTATTTGACTAATTGTTGTGTAAAGGTCCATTTCTACAAATCTACAAGTTAGTAGTAATTTACTACTATAATCCCCTCTACAAGTACCTTGCTGTTCAGCAACATTGGGGTCACTATGAGTGACATAAAGTTCAAAACAATTCAAGCTAGATTTACTTAGTTTTAATAGTTTATTTAAAATACCAGTGATGTTCCACCCCCAAAGTCCTTTTTATAGGATATGACAATATTACTCTGCAACATTTGGGCCACCCTGACTCTCTAAGATGACTGTGATAAAGATTTGTAATGTCCATTTTCTAAAAATTGATGGTAATATTTTAGTGATAACTTCTTGAAAAGTAAAACCCAATACTTGTATTTCCATAACCTACATTTCATGCATTGGTTGACAATGTTTAAAATTTTGTATTTTGGTCCATACCTCAGAAACCTTAATTTGGTGCAGTAATGATACTTCAATGCTTCAGTATTGCATTTTGTACAAAAACAATATTCTACAACTTGTTAGTAATTTTGACCTACATTTCATGCAATATTAGATATCTTCCACTACCTTTTATGTTTGGATGCATCAATTCACTACAAAATTCTATTTTAGGAATAATTAAAGGATTTATTAATTTTTTAGAATGTTAGAAAACCATTTTATGGAATGTTCTGCAATGTTTTTGAAAAATATTGGTGCACATATATATATATACTTACATTTATCTACGGAAATGTACATTTAATTTAGGTGAAATATTGCAATAAGGGTTGTGATTGTTCCATCCCTATATTCAGTGTAGCATGCTCAAGGGGGTGAATTGGGATTTAATTTGTCAATAATCTTATGTTTTTCTGTTACCAAAGAACTTATCTTTTGATATTCTTTTCAGCAAATGTAAAAAAGTTTCAGACTTATAATCAATCGTTATTTTTCAATGAGGACCTTGTTACATGTTTAAGCTGACGAAGGCTCTATTATATGTATTCTTTTTTAACTGAAAATGTAAAATAAAAAAAGTTATAACTTTCAGGCCTTGGATAGCAACATACATATTGGGTATTGAGAAATTATTTTGAATTAATAACCAAAAAATATATGTTAGTTTGTATGTTGTATTTTTGAAACTTCACAATTATCAGTAGCATTTGTTCTTGTATGGGTTAGGCGTGTTAGGAGTTATGCCTAAAATTACCAATTTGAGATTGCTGAATGATAATTCTATTTGACAGTTGGCATTATAACACTGAATTGCTAATAGTAAGATCAAGGTTTTATATGATTTTAAATAAAGAAGAGGTTCATTTTGGATCTATTTTGTACCCAAAATTTTAGAAATAATGAAAAGATGAATTACCTCAGAATGTTTTTATTTCATTTGTCCACAAATTCATACACAGCATTCAGCATTTGAAAACCATTAGAAAAGTCCAATTATAATGATATATGTTTCATCTTTTATTTTTATTATTCTATTTTTCTGTCTTTTTTGTTTGTGATGAATTCGTTGTTATTTATATTCACCTTATTATCATATTCTCATTTTAATGTATTAAATTCTTAAGTGTAAACAAAGTATTATTTTATAAACAACTCATGAAAGTATTAAACTATTTATATCTTTACATCTTTTCATTTATTTCCAACTGAATATAAGTCAACGTTTTTTCCCCAGATACTATAGTCCAGGGAAACTGCATACATGTAGCAAAAATGATCAACAGAACAAGATCTACAAATAAGTCAACATTACCAAATAGTCAATTTTTATAATAGTTATTGACTTTGGATGATGATTTTTACTCATATTTGTGGTTTTTTTGTTTAGACTTTTTTAGATCCTGAAATTAGCAAAAACTATCAGCAGAACTACCTATTAATATGTCAAAATGACTGAAAACATTAGTTAACCCCTATAATGAAAGAGTTACTTCCCTTGTATGCAGTTTTTTTGTGTAAACTATTGTTGATTGAGAGAAACAGTAAATATCAAAGAAGATGAGCAGAACAAGATCTACAAAAAGTCACATGGCTGAAAACATAATTAACTTCTTACTAGATTCCTTGTCATTCTTGAATGATGACCATTATCTAGATTTTTCAGGAAACTATCAGAAATATTTTTATTGCATTGTATCGATATAACTTAAAAATTCCAATTAAGCAAAACAGCTCTAATTTAAATAAAAACATCACTGTTATGGATAAAAATATACAAATAGGCCAAGTAACCTGAAAGATAGACAATTCCCTCAACATTACAAAAAAATAACTAGTATGAAAGGTGCTCTGGTATATAGCTTTTCACCCTTCACATATGGCACCTGTTATGTAACTGGTGACAAGTAAGTGTGGTAGTGATAAGTTGCTTTATGTGATAAGATTTTAAAAAGATCATTTCAACTTAACCATTAAGAAAATTTCGTGTAGTAGATTCTCTGTATTTTGAGATCCAATTAATATTGATTACAGTAAATTGTAATCTGAAACTGCACGGAAGTGGAAGAGAAGATTTGAAAAAATATAATACAGCAAAGGTAGAGACCTAGTGATGACACTTGCTTATATTGCCAAAAGAAACTTTTATTGGCAGTAAATCAAATGTTTTATTATCCATTTAGTAGCATTCAATAAATATTTGTATTTACAATATACTTCTCATTACAAAACTAGATGCTTTCTGGTTAAATATGCAGCAGTAAAATCATCTGCAAACGTGGAAACCATTTTCACATACTTAAGTCATATGAAGCTGTTCACAGTTTTCTATATTATAGTTCTCAAGATAATAGCCAAAACACATACAATTTTTTCAACTAGTTTGTTGATGGTTCACTTGTCACATCTACATAAAAAAAATCTTTTCTCACTGAATTTAGAAGTACTTAGGAGAAAAGGCATAGAAATTAAAATGACACATCATGTGTACACAAACCAAACCTGCCATATTACATAGTGTGATGGAAAAAAAGAGGCATTGTGGGATACATCAATAAAACAAAGTCAAACAAAACTAGAATGCACAAGCTGAAATTTCATATAAAAATAAGGAGATGTAGTATGATTGCCTGCTATAATGATTATGATTGAAATTTTTGTTGAAAGTCTTGCTCTATATCTATGAAATGAGATTCAAGGTCAGGGGAACCCAATGATTCTATATACCGAATACAATTGACTTAATACTCATAAAACTGAAAGAAAGAAAAAAGGTGTGATAAAAAAAAATAAATGTGGATAGTGTCCACATGTGGACACAGATGATGCCCCCGCTTGCATATCATATAGTTATAAAGGGACATAACTGAAGAACGGTAAAAGTGATGCTACCCAAATTTGAACTTGATCTGAGTTTTGTGGTAATAAGCATCGTGTGTAAGTCTCATAACATTTGGTTGAGGCTAACTTAAATAGAGAACAGAAACTAAAAATTCAGCAATTTTTCTATTTGTAAACACGCATAACTCTAGAATGGTTGTGTATAAGTTTTATAACATTTGGTTGAGACAAACTAGAAATTAAGCAATTTTTATGTTTATAAAGGGACATAACTCAAGAATGGTAAAAGTGTCGCCACCAAATTTCGTACTGAATCTGTATTATGTAGTAATAAGCATTGCGTATAAGTTTCATAACATTTGGTTGAGGCAAACTTAAGTTAGAGAACGGAATCTAAACATTTTGCAATTTTTCCAGTTATAAAGGGCATAACTCAAGAACGGTTAATGTGAGGCAACCAAAATTCAAACTTGATCTGTATTTTGTAGTAATAAGCATTGTGTATAAGTTTCATAACATTTGGTTGAGGCAAACTTAAGTTAGAGAACGGACTATAAAAACTTGCAATTTTTCCATTTATAAATGGGCATAACTCTAGAACGGTTAATGTGACACCAACAAAATTCACTAGATCTGTGTTTTGTGGTAATAAGCATTGTGCATAAGTTTCATAACATTTGGTTGAGGCAAACTTAAGTTAGAGAACGGAAACTAAAAATTTTGCAATTTTTCCATTTATAAAGGGGCTTAACTCTAGAACGGTTAGATTGACGCCACCAAAATTCAAAATTGATCTGTGTTTTGTGGTAATAAGCATTGTGTATAAGTTTCATAACATTTGGTTGAGGCAAACTTAAGTTAGAGAACGGAAACTAAACATTTTGCAATTTTTCCATTTATAAAGGGGCATAACTCTAGAACGGTTACAGTGACGCCACCAAAATTCAAACTTGATCTGTGTTTTGTGGTAATAAGCATTGTGTATAAGTTTCATAACATTTGGTAGAGGCAAACTCAAGTTAGAGAACGGAAACCAATTTTGGGAAGTACAGACGGATGGACGTACGTACAGACGGACAAGGGTAAAACTTAATGCCCCCACCCCTGCGGCGGGGGCATAAAAAACTTGAAACAATTTTCTTATAAAGTTTTCCAATCATGAAAATGAGGTCATGACCAATGGACATCCATAAAATTGAGAATGGAAACATGTATGCCACAGAGAAACTTCATACCACAAGACACCTCTATACGAGATACGAATTATCTACACCTTCTACCCTTTGTGAAATGTCAACCTTTATACAAATAGTTTATGCTGCATGTAAATGCTAGTTAGTAAACATATCTATGTGGCATTTTACACTAAATTTGTTGCAGGCAAGACAAGGAGAAAGTCCATACCTTGTACATGTTGTAGGCTAGCATACTATCACCAACAAAAGACAAGTGTCTACATTACATGTCAAGCTTCAAATTGCCCAGTCTCAATACAAGTTTTGAATAAGTTTTAAATTTGTATTTTTAAACACAAAATGTATTTAATTTATTAATACAATGGACTATAATATTCATTTATCTTTATTGGGAAAGTTTTTAGCTTCTTCACTCAGAAATTTCTGATGTCCATATATTTCATTGTAGAACTGGGATGATGAAAAATCCATTATTGAAAGTACAAATGGTCTATCCTTTATTCTAAGATTCCCTTTCAGATAGTTGTGATGTATTTTATCTCTGTATTTCCAATCATTCCTGACAATGTTTTCAAGCCTGAAAGTAAATTTCTCCTGTAAGAACAACCACTTAGGTCTAACACCAACATATAAATCAGTTTTCATATTTTTATAAATTCTCAGCATCGTGCATCGATTAATTACTAATATACAACCAATACATAATGCTATACAAGATGTAACTCCGAAGAAAAATGCAGGATGATCGCTAACTGTTTTGATCAAACCACCATAAGAAATAACACCTCCACCTGTTATCAACAAACTTGAAGATATCATAAGAAAATATTGCTTCAGTCCTTCTCCATTTGTGTTGCAGTATACCAATGTAAAATCCTCTGGCAGTTTGTCATTGTCAACTCGGTTGAATGGGTTTTTTGGAAACATGCGAGCACATCTCTTTTGGGTTAATTGAGCTCCTTCATTGGGAATAGCCAAAACAGAAAGATTCTGAAATGAAAGAAAAATATTGTGATAATTAGGATGAAATTCATTTGATATGACAATTATATCTGCTCTTCATTTAAGATTATATGATGGCCTTCAGAACTTCATTTAAGATTATATGATGGCCTTCAGAACTTCATTTTCATGTAGTGTATTGGTAGTATGCTGTCTCCTTGACATTTATTTTTGAACATCTTTTTCACTATTAACACACAATAATCTCCAGTAACTGTAGGAAGATGTTTTCTCATGGAAAATTAATTTTCACCTTTTGCGAATCAGCTTTTTTATTTTAGCTTTTGTACACATTTATTTACTGCATTTTGTTGTACAAATTATTATTTTCATCCTTTTTTGGACAAGGTTATTTTTGTTCCATTCCATACCAGTCCAGAATCTTCATTTCCAAAATCCTCCTGCCCCTAAACCCTGTAAGTTCATCACATATTATGAAAACTAAATGTATCTCCTTTTCTCTAATTCTTTGTCAATTTATCCCTTTCTGCACCCATTGTATAAAAAAAATTTAATCAACGTGTGGTTCGTTTGATCTCAGTTCTTCATTGGTTAAAATCTGATTATGATGTCGAATTTTCTTGCTTTCCTCTGAATTTCCTATTGTGACGGCATGAAAAAAGGCGACCATGCCTGATGACGTCACATAGAAAGAACACATCTTTTTGCTGATCATTCAAAAAGAAGGAATAAGTTTGCCTGCATATTGTTTGAAAATCATTAGAGAAACAGATTCCACCACCAAATTTCGTGTAATACGATATTTATCCACTCTCGACAGTTAAATTTTAAATATTTAACTGTCTCGAGTGGATAAATATCGTATCACACTCGATGCAGTGGTAGAATCTATATTTAACATTAATAATAATGACAATTTCACAAGTTTTGAATTAACCATATACATTTTATTGTAACTGGTATACATTGTATAAAAATAAGCAGAAGTGGTATGATTGACAATGAGACAACTCTACACAAGAGACCAAATGACACAGAATTTAATGAGTAAAACCCATATCGCTTAGTCAGCTATAAAAGGCCCCAAAATGACAAATGTAAAACAATTCAAACGAGAAAACTAACGGCCTGATTTATGTACAAAATAATGAACGAAAAACAAATATGATATACAGCAACAAACAACAACCACTGAATTACAGACTCCTGACTTGTGTCAGACAAATACAGGATGGGGCGGGGTTAAACATGTTAGTGGGCGCCAAACCCTCCCCTAACCTGAGATAGTGATGTAACAGTACAACATATGAACAAACTATAAAAATCAGTTGAAAAGGGCTTAACTCATCAGATTGGTACAAAGCATTGATCGATATTGTAACTTTTAAGGATTTTTTTTTCTCCATTATAGTGACAAGCCTTTCAACACCGAGTTTGTAAGTTTGATTCCCCCAGGTGGCAGGTGCGGTCAACTCCAATCTTAATCGACTAGGATAGTCAGTTTTCCTACCGAAGGTCTTGGTTCTCTCAAGGCACTCCAGCTTCCTCCACCAATAAAAACTGACCGCCACATAATAGCACAATAGTGTTGAAAATACCAATCAATCAATCCATTATGCTGACATATTTATCTTAACATTTTGGCACTGAACATGCTAAAAACATGCATAAATGACATTACATGTTCACTGTTAGAAGCAAAAGAATACTTGTAATGGTGTAGAAACTTATTATTAATTAACTATGGAGATAAAGTACATACAAGGAGATTCCATCAAAAAACACATTTGCTGGTGTGGAGTCAGTTTGATTGCTGATTATTTGTTACGATAACACTCCAATTAATAACTATCATGTCCATATTATATACTTTCTATTCAATTAGCAGAGAGGTATTTCAAAGTGAATTGCCATCAATCAACAGCATTCGCTGTGAAATTTCACCACCATGAGCGATATTTGACTGTACATTTGGACATTCAGACTGACATTGTTTGAAGGAACTAAATGAATAATTGTGTTTTGGTAACTTCTGGTTGCCAATTCCAAGTTGATTAGTGCTTTGGGTTATTTATAATTTTATAAGATACATATGTTGAAAAATCATAAATATTAGATTTTTTTCTGAATTAACAGTGGGCTCAATTTTTAGCTACCCTGAATTAACAACACAATTACCCAGTTAACAACACTGCAAGTATTTCTCAATCTACCCAATCCTGTCCGCCTCATACATCTCAACAGTGATAATGCCATACTTAGGAAATGTCATCAACATCTATATATTGGAACACAATGTAGCATGTCTGAAAAATAAAGAAAGAAATATTCATAATTATTTTTCATACTTTTACAATTTAAGTGCTTTTATTAAATTGACAATTCAGTGGATATGTAATGTTGCTGCAAAAGCCACCAACATTTTACCAAGGAACGGTGCTGCATGGCTAGGACGGTTATAGATGCACATAGTATACATTTATGTACAATATAGACAATAGTATTGGTAATTTGATTAAATATAAGGAGATGCACAAAACTGGTACGTCATCCTTGTGCCTGATGCAGAGGGGTCGATACATACCATAAGGTGACCTGACTGCTGGTGGCACAGAGGGACAATGCTGAATGACATGCCCAAAAGCACATAGTACCAAATAGAAAAAATTCTTATATATATGGGACAATCCTGATTGTCTATGATTAAATACATACAAAAGGGCATATTATTGGTCCAGGTACCACCATGCCATCCTCTTGCCTAGTGCAGAAAAGCTAGATCTGTATTTTGCTTTCATCAATCAAATTACAAACAGTATTTGTATTAATATTTTTCAGTCTCTTTGTTAAATAGTCAGATCAGCCTCTGGTTAGGAATCAAGTGCTTGAAGTTGGGACAGACTGACAGAGTGAGTTAATCTCGGAATATATGCAATATGTCTAATTATATTTTAATGTTTAGGTGTAATACCACCAAATCATAGTACGTCACATCCGGTTGCATACGAAAAAGGTTCGAAAAAAAAATATTCCTTTGAATTTGACAGTTGTTGGAAATTAATCCTACATTTCATTGCAGTAAAAAAATTCAGAGTCATAAACATATATCTTGGGTGTTTCAAAGCTTCATTCTTTTTTTATTTGGTGTTTCTATAGAATATTTTGGAAACTTGAGGTTACAATACAAGGTTACTAAAGCTTGTACACAGGAAAAAAGGGGTGAAATTTGATTAGTTAACTTCCAGTGATGGTTATTATCTTATATGCAATGAAATGTTATGTGAAATTTTGTCTGTAGTACTGGACAGGATAAAACTTTACTAATGCCAAGTATTTCTTTATTTGAAACATAGATAAATTCAGCACAATTTTTTGAAAAGTGCCAGTTTAACAGACTAATAGGGGAAAACAATGGTGGTATTACACCTATAATATATAGAGATGATGTGCTTGAAGCAGATAAAAAAATGTTTTTCATCATCATCAATTTTATTTGAGGTAAACCTGAGACATACCCTTTTTCAAATTTTGTTGAGAAGTACCCTGATCATGCTATTAACGACCTTGTTCAATATGTGATGAAATGCGTAATCAAGAGAATATTTATCCTCCACATACAATTACATAATTTGACTTGTTTACAAAAGAACATTATTACACCGGGCATCCGTCATGTAGCGATTATTTCAAGTATTTGTTATGTTGTTCTTATTGAATTTGTCTATCATATTAAAAGCAAGTCTTCTGTTGAAACTTGAATGTTATGTTTTTAGAGGTGATGGAAGTCATTAATCATCTTGTAGAGGAGGATTTGTCATTTGCACTTGTGTTTTTCGTGAAAGAAATTTAATTGGTTAATTTTCTTAATACAATACCAAAGCTATTTTATATATTTAACCTCTTCTCATGTCAAAGTGCTTGGGGCTACATAAAGACAGGGGAAGAAAACGAATGAGAAGGTTTTATAAAATATAGACCGGAGTTTCAAAATTCCGATTTTGTTTTACACTTTATAATCCTCATTTTACCTTGACCTTTGGGAAATGCTTGGAGACTGTAAACAATTGCATTTTATCCTGTATTTTTTCGAGATTCGTATATTTGTCCCAAATATAACACAATGCCATTAAAGAAAAAGAAAGGAGGAAAGAAAAAGTAAAGTATTGAAATGAATTATGATATTGTACCAAAGAGTTCAAAATAGTAATTTAAAATCATTTCTTCTTCACCATAGTGTTTATCAGATCATAAATGTTCAACGTGAACATTATAGGCAATTATTCTGAATAATACAAACTAATATTTTTATACAGTTTGCAAAATTATTATTCACAACTTAAATGCATTTTCCAGAATTCTAGGCAACCTGCTTTTAGAATGTTTTAAAAGTATTAAGGCGAGAATACACAATATCTCATTGTAAAATAATTACCTAAACATTGAATGCTTCTTTTTGTAATTTTATTGGGGTTTAAAAGCATTTTTCTTCATACTATGAAAGTAAGAACAATTAAGGTTTTTCAACTGCATAGAATTACAAAAAAATTATGCTTTTGTTTCTTCTTTTCTTGTTACATTTGTTGTAACATTTCGTGGACGCATGTGCAGGCATGAATTTTGCATTTGATCGGGAATTAGAATATGATATTTGAATGCTTAGCAATTGTTGTCTGCCAATAAAATAAAACAGATTCTTATAAAACATAGATTATGTAATGTAATTATTTGAAGAAATAATGCTTGCTGTATCAGGTAGTCAAGGCTGATTATAATAACCTTAGGATAAAATGACAGAATCCTCACAATAATGTATAGTTTCAATGCTTAATGAATTTCAAAACTTTTATAAACTCATCTGAGAAAGAAAATAGATTGACTGCAACCAATAGACAACTTTCGAGTTCGATGCATCTCCGTCAAAAACTCTGGTTTTAGTGAACATCATTCATGCGTTTAGGGGCATCGTCACTTCCGTTCCAATGTTGAGCAAGTGGTTGGAAAACTATAATGCTATATTGCACGAATTATTCAGCAAATTAAATTCTCATAATTGACAATCAGCACTACTGTCATTAGGGAATTGTGATTAAGTACTTACAAAACAAACATTATTTCTAGTTTATCCTGCACAATGACGATCACTAAGACGCTTGATGAACGTTAATAGTGCAGGGATACAGGCGATTCCCTCTATCTGGTAAATGACGTCATGAAGGCACGCATAATTGACGAGTTTTTTCCGGTGAAGGATGAACTCGAAAGTGGTCTATTGCCTCAAACTTCCCACACTAACATCTGCACAATCTCTTAACAAATTGTTTTGACACCAGTCTATTGTTGAAGACAGCTTTCCCTCTAAATGTTTTTTTGTTATTTTATCTAGAATTGTACAAAGGGAAATAATTTGATATACAAATTGTTATCAAAATCTTAATCTCTCCCATAATTAAAACCACCTATTAATCCAACACCGTTCTGTTGAATCTACCTTTGGAAGAGACTCCTGAAGTGAATTCCTTGGTTGAAATGTGTATAAAATCAGGATCAAATTAGTCCTATTAATCTAAGCATTTGAGGACAGAGGTGTACAGTCTAATAAAAGGGGCAAATTTTTACAGCTTATTAATAATAATTGTTTTACAGAAGTTTTAAAACAAAAATAGATGTTCAATTTTTTTTCTAAAGAAATAAATTGTTTACAGTCCTACAACTATGCCCAAGAATTCGCATCAAAATGATGGATGAAAATCAGCTTATCACAATCACCAACACCACTTAGAAAACACAAAATTTTCAAATAAATTTGTCACTCCAATTATAAGTTTGTTAGTTGATGAATACCACATGTTTAGTTTTCTTGATAATTGGTGGTAATTGTTGCATGAATAAATTAACTGTATATATACAAATGTGACTATTTAGTTAATTAGAAATGTAAACATGTAATACAAATTAAAAATTACGGTATAGGAAGACAAATAAAAATTTCTATTTTTATTTTAATGCGTAGGGAAATATAACATCAAAAACTTTCCTTCATCCATTTTAATATTTGATTTCCATGATTAGTTATAAAAATGTTAAAATAATAAAAATTTCAATTAATTTCATTGTTCCTGTCCTAGAATGGTAATATCAGAAACTGGACACATTGTGTATTATCATCTCTATTGTTATTACAAACTCAGTTTTTTGTTTTAAACATCTGTTTGTTAAGTAATATTATCTGTCCCTTTATCAGCATCAGATGACAGATTAACAGCTTTACTTAACCATTTTATAATTGAGAGAAGATATGAAATTTTCACTCTGAAGGGTTTGGATGTAAGACTGTTTATGTCTTTTAATTTCTTTACTAATAATGAAAAATTTCTGCTTCATCGACTTAGTAAAAATAGAAAATTGCTGATGAAGAAAGCAACTATTGTGAACAGTAGGGCGACTAGATATCCCTTTTGACGGTCAGGCAAAGCGAAGTGATGGACAGGAAAGCGACTTATTTGTCCCAGTCGCCTGCTAGCGTGAGCCCTGATGTTAGATACATGTAGTTTCACATCCCATTACACTAATTGACATGTTCATCTTTGATACAGTTGCTTAGATAACCCTAAAAGGATAGTATAAATACCTATGAATCTTAATTTGCAATCAACATGTTAATTGTCATAAGACCGACCCTTAATTTTTGGTGGACCTTAAGAATTTTTCTCTGAAAATTTGAGTTATCTTTCTAGTATAAATGTCCTATATGTCCTGATCTATGTGAGACATCAAGACAACACTGACCATTCCAGGTTCCTGATTTGGGATATAATGTGGCTTAAAAGTAGTTTTTGGGTACTCACTACTCCCCCTCCCCCTTTGATCTTGATCAGTTATATAGAATGAATATAATGGTCAAATCAGACATTGATGTCATTGATTGGAATAAAGGATGTAGGGTAAAAGTCAATGAGACAACAACCCAATGACACTATTAACCAATAGACGTCAAGAGGTAATCAGTTGTTTGTCTCGCTTGACAGAGTCAAAAAGCGAGCCATAGGTATGCTGTTTCCGGCGGCAGCGGCGTCAACAATGTATTAGTTTGTGATTAGGTCTAGTTTATAGTGAACTATTAGTGGTAAGTTAAAGATATTTGGTATGCAGTTGTATTAGTATTGGCACATCTCATTACCATGGAGATTATTTGGCCCCGCCCCCTCAGTTATGGTCTATTGACTTTGAAATTTTTGCTTTGTTTTCATGTAAAAGTTTGTAATTAGGTCAGTTAATAGGGAACCACTAGTGGTAAGTTAATGATAATTGGTATGCAGTGGTATAAGCATTGGCATATCTCATTTCCATGGCGATTATTTGGCCCCACTCCCTCAGTCATGGTCTATTGACTTTGAAACTTTTGCTTAGTTTTCATGTATTAGTTTGTGATTAGGTCAGTTTATGGGGAACCACTAGTGGTAGGTCAATGATATTTGGTATGCAGTTGTATTAGCATTGGTACATATCATTACAATGGAGATTATTTGACCCCGCCCCCTCAGTTATGATTTATTGAATTTGAAATTTTGCTTAGTTTACATGTATTAGTTTGTGTTTAGGTTTGTTTAAAGGGAACTTCTTATGATAAGTCAATGGTATTTGGTATGCAGTTGTATTAACATTGGCACATCTCATTTCCATGGAGATTGTTTGGCCATGTACATGTACCTTCAGTCATGATTCATTGACTTTGAATATTTGCAAAACTTACATGTAAAAGTGTTGCTATTTTAATTTCAACATTTGCATTATCGAAATAACCAAAAAGCGAGACATATCTCTGTGATAACAGTTTATTTGTTTGCAGAATTTGAGGTTAGTGGAAGATCTGTCATTTATAACCTCAAATTCTACAAATAACAAAACGGATTACCTTTAACTTATCATGATATCCTCTTAAGATAAAGATTTTTTTTTTCTTTATTATTAAGATAAATGGCAAACAACAACCACAGAGAGGTTTTTTACTTGGGACAAGCACATGAATATGTGTCAGGGTTAAATTAGTTTCTTAAATCAATATTACAAGTGAAATTACAAAAAGACTTGCATTTTTTTCTTTAGAATAGTACACTTTGAATAATATTTCAGATATTTTTATGCAATTAATGTGAATTGTTCTGTTGACCTATTCAATTAAGAGAAATCATTCATATTGAAGAGAAGGAAATGGTTGTGCGTTTACAAATAACATGATTTTCCAAAAAGTATGCAATTAAGTGGATGTCACTTGTTATTTTATATTGTTGGATTGCTATCTTACTGAGATGAACATAATATCTTATAAAAGTCTTATTTATTTCTCTCCATCAAATTCAGTAAAAAGAGCTGTTCATGTAATAAAGTTTATTTTAATTATAGGAAGTTGACAGCAGGAAAGTCATCAATAGAAAAAGATGAAGCAGGGGAAATTGATCCAGGTACTTTGATTTCTGTAACAAATGCTGATGGTACTGTAGATCTTAAAGAAAAAGATGGAGGCAAGAAAAAGAAAAAGGGCAAAAAGAAGAAGAAGAAAGTGTCATTGGCTGATAAGAAGTTGGTAAGATACATTTAAGAGCTGAAGTTACTGCAAATTTTTAAATTGTGAAGCACATATGGTATAATTGATGTAAATCAAATTTATTTACCAAAGAGGTGGAGATCTTGAAGAATACATTTGGGAGGGTTTAGTAAAAAATTTGCCACAAGCTTAAGTTGATTTGCCTATCTAAAGTCAGGAATCTTGTCAGTGGTGGTCTTTTTATAAATATGTAAACAATTTTTGTGTTTTAATGGAAAGTGCACAAACATTCCCAATAATGCCTATCTAGATATTATGTCATTAAAGTAAATCATGCAATAAAAAACCTTTATGGTGCAGCTGTGACCAACAGGATGACCACTAACTTAAACAATGAAAGAAAAGACGGCAATCAGAACATTATTTACAAGACTTAAAAATGATAGATGCTCAGACTTTGTCAAATTGTGGAACCGAGATTAAAGTTAACTTGATCTCAGTACAGAAATGAAGTGCTAAACCAAATTCAAATTTATATTTTTAAATTTTAGGAAAGACTAGAAAAAGAAACAGAAAAGTTAAAGAAGGAAAAACCATCATTTCGTCTATTTATATATGAAATGGACAAATGGTTAAAATCTAATGCAGTAAGAATCCAGCAACTTTTCAAAACATACGATTATGAGGGGGAGTGTATGCTTACTTACGATGAATTTAAGTCAGGTAAGAAAGATGTGGAAAAACATACGATTATGAAGGAGAGTGTATGCTTACATATGATGAATTTAAGTCAGGTAAGAAAGATGTGGATAAACATAGCAACACATGTGTGTTTTCATATATTTGTTACCAAAAATGAAATTTAAAATAGATTTTATGATTTGAAGAGAAATTTAAGATTTTTTTTGTCAATTTTATGTGCTTTCTATACAGATGTGGACCTATTTTGAAAGAATTTAATCAGTAATATTTCAGAGAATTAAAGAGATAAATGCATTATATTTTTCATTTTTCCATTATAGTTCAAGGAGCCAAAATTATATGCAAAATTTTACAAAAATCTGTGACATAGTCCATTTACGGTACCGTGGCCTTAAGAGTTAAGAATAAAAGACATTTTAGTGGTTTTATATGGCATAATTCTGTTTTAATGTATTTCAGGAATGTTTGACTTGGAGATTCCCTGTAGTGAAGTACAATGTCATCTGTTAGCAAAGTTGTTAGACAATGAAAATAGTGAGGAAATTGACTACACAGAACTACACAAAGGACTTAATTATGCAATGTAGGTTTGAATTAAAAGAGGTACATGGGATAATTATCAAACAAATTATAAGCACATTTCCAATACATTGGAACTGAAAATTGATCAATAAAACTGTCAAAACCTTGTTACTTAGATTTTCAACCTTATAATGTAGACAAACTTATATCTTTGATGAAACTCTTTTTGTATATTTATAATATTTTAGGGACATTCTAATTCTTTAATAGCTTGAGTAAGTTGTTTTTAATGTGACTTCATGTTAAATAAATTACCATCTAATCATATGGTCAAGTGTTGAAAAGCAAAAATAAAAAAGCTCTTAAAATTCAAAGGTTGTTTTTAACAAACAAAAAACACCATTAATATTCTTCTACTGCAGTCATTGATGAAAATGAAACAATTGGATTAAAATTTTATATACATAACTAGTTAATGAGTGTTAGCAAGTGTGATGCATGAACTGTTTTTCCTTATTCAGATTTTTGTCTGTAAAGGCAACCAATATTTTATCTTAATTATGAGTCGTGGTATAATGTTAACATGCAAATAATATTGAAATTTTGGAAATAGAATGTTTAAAAAGGGATTATGATCACTTTCAGACTTTAGAAAAATGGAAATATGATAGAACAAGTTCAGTAACTAGTCTTTTATCTTTTGATGGAGCTTGTTTATATTTACACATAATTTCATATATGCCATCTCTTCATGATTTTTTTTTTGAGCAATCAAAATAATTTATGTCTTATTCAAATTCTGTCTCTACTCAAAGTTGATTTAAACCTCTGGTAGTTTATTTTTCTAATGTTTCCAGAAGATGTGTTTGAAATTCAAATGAGGAACAAAAACAAAAGAAACAGAACAATAATATAATATACATTACAATGTAGTTTAAAAGACAGAAGTGTTTATTTTGACAGATTCTAGGAATTGCCCTACATTTTTTTTTGTTGAAGAAATCATGAAAAACAATAACTGAATCATTTTTGGAGACCTCCATGTGAAGAGTACTTTATTTGCTTCCTAAACATGATAAATAACTCTCACCATTCCTTCTGTTGAAATATTTTTGTTTTGTTTTGTTTTGATACTGCAGAAATAGGGAATGATTAAGATATATACTCAGTATAAAGAAACAGATCTTCCTAGTATGATTTATTTTATAAGCTGAATTGAAACAAAGTCATAGTCCGCTTATATTATGATAAATGCCGTCCAGATGTCAGGGCGTCAACATTTGACCTTCCTGACCAAATCTTTTGAGCCATAAACAACATTTTTACCAAACTTGGTGAGATTATGCCCCATTGGGTAAGAAAGAACCTTAAAATTTAGGGTAAATAGATCAACGGTCAAGGTCAGAGGAGCTATTAATAGACAGAAATTCGTGCAACATTTTGGTTTTTGGATTTTAACTTTAGAATCATTTGTCCAACTTTTATAAAACTTGGTGTGACAATGCTTCATTGGATGTAGAAGTTATCTATTGATATTTTAAAAGTCACTAGGTCAGAGTCAGGGTCACAGCAGCAAATGATAAACTGAAATTAAGACAGAATTTGTTTTTTTTGTTATATCTATCCAACCATATGTCCAAAATTCATCAAACTCAGCTTGAGAATGCCCCTTGTAAAGAAAAAGATCCCTGTAGTATTTTTGGGGGGTCAGTAGGTCAAAAAAGGTCAATGTCTGTATACCTATTTTCCATCATTTAAACTAAAATTGTTAGCAGATCTTACAATTATCACAAAACCTGAAAAAAAAACCAAGTACCTGACTCAAAAATCTGTTTCTTTTACTACAAATCCATATAGATTGTAAAGCGGCAAATGCACCCATGGTGCTTCTTGACTTTTTTTTAGTGAGGTAGAGGAGATGGAACAAGAAGAAGAAGAAATGGAAAAGGTTTTGGATGTAACAAAGAGAGATCTAGATCATTGTAGATCCTGTAAAATGGCTGTCATACAACCACCCGGTATACCATTCTGCAGGTAATATTGTCTTATCATATCCTGTAAAATGGCTGTCATACAACCTCCCGGTATACCATTCTGCAGGTAATATTGTCTTATCACATCCTGTAAAATGGCTGTCATACAACCTCCCTGTATACCATTCTGTAGGTAATATTGTCTTATCAGATCCTGTAAAATGGCTGTCATACAACCTCCCTGTATACCATTCTGTAGGTAATATTGTCTTATCTGATCCTGTAAAATGGCTGTCATACAACCTCCCTGTATACCATTCTGTAGGTAATATTGTCTTATCAGATCCTGTAAAATGGCTGTCATACAACCTCCCTGTATACCATTCTGTAGGTAATATTGTCTTATCTGATCCTGTAAAATGGCTGTCATACAACCTCCCAGTATACCATTCTGTAGGTAATATTGTCTTATCAGATCCTGTAAAATGGCTGTCATACAACCTCCTGGTATTCCATTCTGTAGGTAATATTGTCTTATCAGATCCTGTAAAATGGCTGTCATACAACCTCCCAGTATACCATTTTGAAGGTAATATTGTCTTATCATATCCTGTAAATGGCTGTCATACAACCTCCCGGTATACTATTCTGTAGGTAATATTGTCTTATCATATCCTGTAAAATGGCTGTCATACAACCTCCTGGTATTCCATTCTGCAGGTAATATTGTCTTATCTGATCCTGTAAAATGGCTGTCATACAACCTCCCAGTATACCATTCTGTAGGTAATATTGTCTTATCTGATCCTGTAAAATGGCTGTCATACAACCTCCCGGTATACTATTCTGTAGGTAATATTGTCTTATCAGATCCTATAAAATGGCTGTCATACAACCTCCCGGTATACCATTCTGTAGACCTGTAATATTGTCTTATCTGATCCTGTAAAATGGCTGTCATACAACCTCCTGGTATACCATTCTGTAGGTAATATTGTCTTATCTGATCCTGTAAAATGTCTGTCATACAACCTCCCAGTATACCATTCTGTAGGTAATATTGTCTTATCAGATCCTGTAAAATGGCTGTCATACAACCTCCCTGTATACCATTCTGTAGGTAATATTGTCTTATCTGATCCTGTAAAATGTGTGCCATACAACCTCCCAGTATACCATTCTGTAGGTAATATTGTCTTATCAGATCCTATAAAATGGCTGTCATACAACCTCCCGGTATACTATTCCATAGACCTGTAATATTGTCTTATCTGATCCTGTAAAATGGCTGTCATACAACCTCCCTGTATACCATTCTGTAGGTAATATTGTCTTATCAGATCCTGTAAAATGGCTGTCATACAACCTCCTGGTATTCCATTCTGCAGGTAATATTGTCTTATCATATCCTGTAAAATGGCTGTCATACAACCTCCTGGTATACCATTCTGTAGGTAATATTGTCTTATCAGATCCTGTAAAATGGCTGTCATACAACCTCCTGGTATACCATTCTGTAGGTAATATTGTCTTATCAGATCCTGTAAAATGGCTGTCATACAACCTCCCAGTATACTATTCTGTAGGTAATATTGTATTATCAGATTTATTAATCAAAATAACTTCTGAAATACCATTTTAGTGGCAAAATTGTCTTCATGACACAAAATACACTGAAGCCAACAATAAATTGCTGTGTTAAGATAAAACATGTCATTAGGTGGAAAAGTCTGTGCTGATTAAATTGGAACTATAGCTAACTATTAAAGTACTCATGTAGCTTTCTTATATATGATTTGAAAAGGGTGATAGGGGCTGTCTTTACCTTAAGCTTGCAGTGAGGTGTCAGCTTTTTCTCTGTATTAAATGCCTAACTATCAACTAAATTTGAAGAACAGCAATAAAAATAATGAATGTTTTCTTTGGGTTTATGTACAGGTAGGGATTTTTTTTAAATAAACAAATTCATCAAATTCTAACTTTTCTGTTACTTTATAAAAAATCTATCTGTTATAGGACATTTAAACCTTCAAATAGTCCATATAACACAAAATTACCTAAGGAATTGGAATAAACGAAATGAACCAGTTTTTTGCTAAATTTTCAAAATATACATGCACTGTAAAATTCAAATATTTGATACTTATCAGTTTTTGAAACTTCATTCAAATGATAATTCATTCAAGAGAACACCTTAAATTATAGTTTGTTTTTTTAAAAGTTTTTTTCAATTACCAAGGAATTTCTATCTTCAAAGGGCATAGTGAAGAAAGCCAAATGTAACTTTAACTATTAAAATTAAACACTTCTCTTAAAAAAAAAACTCAGAAATATCTTCGATTTGTCTCCCTTTAATTGATCAAAGTATGTTTGCTCTCAAAAAATGCAACTGAATTATTTCCCTTTGACTGATTAGAGTGTTACACAGAGCTCAGTTTGTCTGGGCAACAAATTTGTTTTCATATTATGAGCAATTTTAGACAGTATAATACTTCTGACTGAATTATACCGGTTATAGATAGGTCATGTTTGTTCAGAGTAGAAAAATTAATTGCAAGCAAGCTAGCTATTCATTGTGTAACATTTTACATCTTATTATATTTTATTAACTTGTATTTACTCACTGTTATATTTTTGATTAAAGACAGACCATATGTGACCTGTATAACTGATTATTATCATCATAATTATGGTCTGTTATTTTAATGAAATTAAAAAGAAGGCAAAAATAAGTTGACAATACTATGCTTATCAGCCCTCCAAATACAGATTTTCATCTCATGTTAATATTTATTCAAACTGAAACGCATTGAATTGGATATATGTATGTACAGTTATAATATTTATCTTTTTCAGGGACATTTTAATTAATCTAATTTGCATAACCTTCAAGAATACATCAAAACATCCTTCACACATAAAAGTGACTGCTAATGCTTACACAACAATATACAGTCTAATTCAGATGATTATACAGGACACAGGCATTGCATCAACAAAACTGTCAATTTTCCGTGATGACAGGCGAGTTGCTGAATCTAGGATAGAAGAGGATACAGAGCTGAGGGAATTATGGGGAGATACAATGGACGAACCAGATGAAATAGACTTATACTACGACTATCGAGTGGAATTTACAGAGTGTCCTATATTACTGTGTGATTATTACTTTGTTGATCTTGATAACTGAAAACCAAAAATTATTCCAAGCATTTAATCCTAGACTAGTTGATTCTCGTTTACATGAATAATTACAAGAAAAAGAGTAAACATTTTGTATAATTAGAATTATGAAGAGTATTGACCTTTGACTTATAAATAAAAATTAAGTCAACAGAATATGTTTGTTAGGATGAAGATTACCAAATGTGATATTTTATAATGTACTTATTTTTTTTTTTTAGATTTTTAAAAAAAAATAATTTTATTTTTAATCAGACATTTGAAACTGTTTTGTTTTCGACTACTTGTTCCCCTGTATGAATGTTATCAGATCATAAAGGGGGGGGGGGGGGTTAATATATAAAAGAATGTGATTTCTTTTTTTTTTTTTTATCAAAAACCATTTAAACAAAAGAATACACAGAGATGGCAGACATGAGGATCTGATGTAAATATTGTCTTATCAGATCCTGTAAAATGGCTGTCATACAACCTCCCTGTATACCATTCTGTAGGTAATATTGTCTTATCATATCCTATAAAATGGCTGTCATACAACCTCCCAGTATACCATTCTGTAGACCTGTAATATTGTCTTATCAGATTCTGTAAAATGGCTGTCATACAACCTCCCAGTATACCATGTAAATAATTTAAAGTATAAATATGTGATACCATCAGTATAGAGAAACTATATGAGACTCAAGAATAGCATTGTTTTAATTTCTGAGTGGAGATATTTTTAAGTTATTGATTTACAGTAAAATTTCATATTCTAAGAATACAAGGCATCTAGCATATAAGCAGATCTGACACTTTATTGGTATAACTCTTATTTATAATTTATTAATATAGCATATAAACCAAATTTTATGTTATGGATTTCAGCCATTTTGATATCCTCAGTGTTATAAAAAATTAAAATGATTTTTGTCAGTTTTTCAATCTTCTGTAGCGAACCAATAAAGGAAAAAAAAGATTTCCTTCTACATGAACATTCTCCCCCCCCCCCCATAATCCAAGAACATTTTGAATGGAAATTTCCCAGTAGTAAAATGAAAACTCTTTGAAAACTTTTTAAGTGCAAAAGTAGCTTATACAAGCTTTAACTTAATGAAACAGTGTAAAAACTGTACATATAATTGTTAATAATCTATTTAGTGAATTAAGCATAAAGGGACAGTATATGTTTTGCATCAGAGTCATGGTATAATTATTGATGAATAATGGTATTTGATTAAAATTGCACCATGAAAGTTCTTACTATAATAAGGCAGCTATGACCTACATTTCATGAATTATTGGGACCAGGAGGGTGTTGTAATTTCATATCCATGCTTCACAGATGAAATGTTCCAAAAAAGATGGTCAAGAAATTAGTTAACAATAGTCTATGTATGTAAATAGAATATGCAAAGGGATAAGCTACATATTGACCATGCTTCAGGTTAACAGCATCTCAGATGTAAGTTTTAGCAGAACTAAAAAAAAAAAATGGACAAATTATTAGTTGATTTGATTTTTAACAATTTTGCTTATTTCTAAAGTCACAAGAATAATTTATATACAAAACTTGTAGGTAATTTTTAAATTTATATTTACTGGTATTTACTGGTCAAATAAAAGATAGTAGCTGATGAATGTGAAACATAACTTTCAGATTCCTAACTAAATTTTGGCAATTCCTACGAAAAAAAAGAGAGTAAAAACACATCTATGATTTGTATGACTATTCATTGTTCCATACAACTTAAACGTTCAAAATAGTGAGTTAGCATGAATTCATATGAAATCTTAAAATTTATACAATTCATAGTTAATTTATCTACATTTAATAGAAATTAAACATGATTTACAAGTTTGTTATTTATTTGAAACTGTCACTTCCATTGTAGAAGATATATGTATCAATGATCAACATAACACTACAGTTTATATCAAGTTTTGTTTGGTTGGTGTTGAAGACTCTGAAGACTCAAATCTTCCTGTTTGATGAAATAAACAGGACAACATTTCTAGTTTTTGTCAGACTATGAGTAGTAGTAAGGCTGTTTGAATATTTTTATAAATTCCAATTCTGATGTCATATCTGTAAAAATATTTCCCATGTATATTAATCTTTTTTAAAACTCGATATTGGCATAATTTGGTACTACTTTAAAAGTGGTTGAGCTTACTGTACAAAATGTATCTAATCCTGAATTGTATTATTATATTGAATTGATTTTTAATGAGTAGATAGTTAAAATCATTTTGCTTTACTGTCTGTAATACTTGACCACTTTTGGGCTGTCATCTAGTAAACCTTTTTGTTTAATTGTCTGCAGTGTTTGGTGTTCTCTTGTCATACATCTTTTGGTTCATTTGATGTTGTCTTCATTAACAATTCAACTTTATCATTTCACTGTACATAAATGTCTGTATATACTTCTTGTCCCTTAAAATACCCCTTGCTTTCTCAAGCGAGCTGTATATAGTGATGAAGTCTGTTTGTTAGTCATTTATCCCTCTGTCCCACTTTTGTATCCACAACTGCTCCTGAACAACATGACAGAATTTTGTGAAACTTAAACAGTATGTTACTCACATAATAACACAGAACTAGTCAGCCCTTAACAATAGATACAATTACCCTGAATAACACATGACTTACTGTCCTCTACACTAGATACAATTACCCAAAAAATACACATTACAGACAGTCCTCTACACTAGATACAATTACCCCATATATACATATTACTGACTGTTCTCTACACTAAATGAAATTACCCTAAATAACACATTACAGACAGTCCTCTACACTAGATACAATTACACTAAATAACATATGACTTGCTGTCCTCTTCACTAGATACAATTACCCCAAATATACACATTACAGACAGTCCTCTACACTAGATACAATTACCCCAAAAATACACATTACAGACAGTCCTCTACACTAGATACAATTACCCCAAAAATACACATTACAGACAGTCCTCTACACTAGATACAATTACCCCCAAATGTACACATTACATTACATTAACGTTGATTTTCATGTTTGAATTGTTTTACATTTCATCATGTTGGGGCCTTTTATTTGGCTTACTATATGGTATGGGTTTTGCTCATTTTTGAAGAACATTCGGTGACCTACTGTACATGTTGCTTACATCCATGTCATTTCATCTTTGGTGAATAGTTGTCTTATACCACATCTCCTTATCTTTATATACATGTATATAAATCGTAAAATGCGGACAATTATAGGTGTTACTTTCAAACAAACTGTTTTTAAGACTGAAGTAATCTTTAACTTCACGTCTGATTATTTTTAATGTCCTAATAGAAAAATTAATCGGTAACCATAGAAATCTCTACCTTTAAATAATTTCCCATCTCACTGATTCATCGTACAAAATTGAAGAAAGATATTTCATTGTACATTGCAATATCCTACTGTCCTCTTCACTAGATACAATAACCCCAAATATACATATCACAGACAGTCCTCTACACTAGATACAATTACACTGAATAACACATAAACAGACTGCATTCTACACTAGAACACTAGATATAGATACCTTTGACAACACATAACTAGACTGTCCTCAACACTAGATACAATTACTCTGAATAACACATATATAATACAGCTTTTAAACTGGACAAAATAACCTTGAATATCATGTGATAGGACAACTATCCTCATTTAACCATTTACCCTGAATAACATTAAAATACATCTATCTTCACTGATAAAGCTACTCCACATGTCACAAAGCGGGACAGCTTTCTAAACTGATAGTTATCCTGGATAGGACATAGCAGGATAGCTTTCTACACTAGTACAGTTACCCTGTATATCACATAGCAGGTAGCTTTTTACACTGATACAGTTAAAATATATATCATATAGCAGGATAGCTGCTTTCTACACTGGTATTATTACCCTGTATATCCTATAGCAGGTAGCTTTCTACACTAGTATGGTTACCCTGTATATCATATAGCAGGATAGCTTTCTACACTGGCACAGTTAACCAGTATATCATATAAAGGTAGCTTTCTACACTGGTACAGTTACCATGTATATCATATAGCAGGTAGCTTTCTGCACTGGTATAGTTACCCTGTATATCATATAGCAGATATCTTACTACACTGGTACAGTTACCCTGTACATCATATAGCAGGTAGCTTTCTACGCTGGTACAGTTACCCTGTATATTATATAGCATGTAGCTTTCTACACTGGTACAGTTACTCTGTACATCATATAGCAGGTAGCTTTCTACACTTATTCAGTTGCCCTACATCTGACATAGCATGGCAGTTTTCAACACTTTAAGTTACCTTGCATATTGTATAGCATGGCCACTTTCTACATTGATACAGTTACTAGATATTTCAAAAACTAGAAGCTTTCTACACTTAATCAGTTACCCTACATCAGACATAGCAGGGCAGATTTCGACACTTTATGTTACCTTGCACATTGCATATCAGAGTCACTCTACATTGATACAGTTTCTATGTATTAAGATACCAGGAAAGCTCTCAACACTGATTCAGTTACCCTGTATATCACATATCAGGCCAGCTTTCTGAACTGATGGTTACTCTGCATATCTCACAGAAGGGCAGCTTTATAAACTGATACAGATACCCAGCATATGATATAGTAGGACAGCTTTCTACACTGATACAGTAACCCTGCATCTTGCATAGCAGCACAGCTTTCTCATTTTAAAATACAGTTAACCTCATATCACAAAGCAAGACAGCTTTCTACACAGATAGTTACCCTTCATAGCACAAACCAGGTAAGCTTTCTTCACCGATACAGTTAGCCTACATTTAGTATAGCAGAATAGCCTCCTACACTGACGCAATAACCCTTTACATCACAAGGCAGGGTAGCTTTCTACACTGATAAAGTTACCATGTATATCACATAGTAGGGAAGCTTTCTACACTGCTACAGCTACCCTGCATATGACAAAGCAGGGCAGCTTTTAACAGTAATAGTTACCCTACGAAGCACATAGCAGGACAGCTTCCTACACTAATACAGCTACCCTGTATATCACATAGCAGAGCAGCGTTCTACAATGATTAACCCTCCATATCAAGTAACTACACTGATGCAGTTACTCTATATATTTTCATAACTTTTTCACTGTTTCAGTCATCCTGGATATCACATATAACAGGACAGCTTTCTTAACTGACACAGTTACTCTAAATATCACATATAGCAGGACAGCTTTCTTATCTGGCACAGTTACTCTAAATATCACAATACATGACAGGATTTTTTACTGACACAGTTACTTTAAATATCACCTAACAGGACAGCTTTCTTAATTGGCACAAGTACTGAATCTATGAAAAGTTGAAAATTGATTCTACGTTTATAAAATGAAATCAACTCCATCTTCATTCAACAATTCACATTAGGAAAACGATTTGTATTCATCTTTTAATATTTTATAACCCTTTTTTAATTTTTGATTATCATTTTTTTATACGCATTACCATAGCAACAGTTAAACGTGCTTTTATACAATCTAGCCAATCATAACTCCTAAATTTTTTACTATGTCAACAGAAAGAAATTAACGGCTTACTTTAAGGTACTCGCATAAAAAAAAGACTAAAGTAGGAATCCATTTGATCGTCTCAGGATATGTACGTTTAGATCTCAATGGGAAAAAAGTTCCCAGTATAAACATAAAACGAAGTCCTAAAATAGACTCCCCTCATGATTGAAAATTTAACCAGATACTTGACATTTCAGTGTAAGCACTTCCGAAATCTATAAAGCAAAGGGAAGTTGTTGAATGGATGAATATTTGTGACAACGTTAGAACGAAATTCTTTAACTCAATTTTCTGCAACGGTGAGGTATGTATACTTTTAAAATGAATTATATAGCTATTGTGCAACACACTGAATTACAGGAAATGCACGGATTGCTGTAAATCAGTGGTTGTTGTTGGCTGCTTTTCTTTTATTGTTATATTATTATCCGACCGTTGATTTTTTTTAATGTTTGAATTGTTTTACATTTTATCATATCGGGTCCTAGCTTTTATTTGGCTTACTATATGGTATAGGTTTTGCTCATTTTTGAAGAACATACAGTGACCTACTGTAAATGTTGCTTACATCCACGTTATTTCATCTTTGGTTAATAGTTATCTTATTCCACATCTCCTTAGTTTTATATACATGTATATAAATCGTAAAATGCGGACAATTATAGGTGTTACTTTCAAACGAACTATTTAAAGACTGCAGTAATCTTTAACTTCCCTTCTGATTATTTTTAATGTCCTAATAGAGAAATTAATCGGTAACCATAGAAATCTCTACATATAAATAATTTTCCGTATCACTGATTCACCGTACAAAATTGAAGAAAGATATTTCATTTGTACATTGCAATATCCTTAAATTGTATCATAGATACAATGTTTAACTTATGAGATAAAAGTTTTTCCTATCTGGGAGACACCTGTTTAAGATAAAATGTCCCTCTCTATTTCATGTAAAAACTGATTAAGCTTTTTCTCGCTTTGAAGACAAAATTTGGAAAGAATTCACTTGTGTTTGCATTTTATACGGTTTATATAAAACATCCTTTGTCGGTGCAAACATAAATGGGTCAGGTGCTCTAATTTTAATAATTTTGTTTTGTCGTAGACTTTCCTGGACCAAAGCCTTTACACTGAAGAGGATCGAACTTATAGTGACGTACGTACATTTCCTGTAGCAAGTCAACACATTGTTCTAGTTTCAGATATCTCTAAATTCAGGAAGCTTTAGTATTATATATGAGGGTCTGGATGGGGTTTACAGAATAGAGAACATTGCGTAAAAAGTGCAGAATAAAGGAACAAAATATAAAGGAGAGAGAAAATAGGCAAAAATAATAAAGAATAGAAAATAATTGGGTGCTAAAATATAAGGAATAGAGAAAAATGGGCAAAATATATAAAGAATAGAGAAAAATGGCATAAAAATTAAACAACAAAAAAGTAAATGACCCCAAATAGACCCTCTTAGAAAAACACGCCATCAGAAAATACAATGAAATCCAGCTGTATCTAACGCAGAAAATATAACACTTCCCTGTTAAAAAAATCAGTTCCATTTCTATTTCATATGACACTGGTTCATAGCCTGTAAATCAATGAATAAGTACTTACCGTTACACGAAAAAGAAGAATTAAGAAATTATAGTTTGTCAGTATATTTGCTTGTTTATCCTGTTATTTAATTAATTAACAATCAAAATTCAAAAAGCAAAAATATCAATCTCACTAGGCTAATAACTCATCTGGCCTAAATGGCCAGTGTGAGCTTTTGCAATCACTTGGTGTCCGTCGTCCGTTATCTTTTACAAAAATCTTCTCCTCTGAAACTATTGCCCCAAAGAAAACCAAACTTGTCAACAATCATCCTTGAATCTGTAGTTTAAATAAGATGTGTTCGGTGATCCAGCCTGCCAATTTGCATGGCCACCAAGGTTAAATATGCAAGTATTGTTTATTAAAATGTATGACAGGGGCAGAAGTGTTCATAATGATGAGATCTACCTACCGTCCATTAAGATATATATATATATATATATATATATATAATATATATATATATTATCTCGAAAACTATAATACATGTTCAGAATGATGAGATCTACCTACCGTCCATTAAGATATATATATATATATATATATAATATATATATATATTATCTCGAAAACTATAATACATAGAGAGAAATTACCAACATAAAATAATCTGCAAGACAAGATCTACATATGAATCACACAGCTGAAATAGTCAGTCCAGTCCTTATAAGAGTTACTGACTTACTTCCCTTAAATGATGATAATGTTTTACCCAATTTTTTGCATTTTTGGCTAAAGTAATAGTAGAGAGAAATTGTAAACAACAAAAAGGATCCTACTCTTTGTCATAGAGTGACCATTTGTTGCAGAGGCACATAGAACAGGTGGGCGACACAGGCTCTTGGGAGCATCTAGTTTAAAGGAAATGGGGAAAATGTCACTTTTATATAATAACTCAAGTTTTTCACATACTTTTTGTCTCGCGGGCGAAAAAAGTCACAGAATGCGAGACATATGGATATCAATCCTGCGGCAGCGTATTCTTTTTTGTTTAAAGCTTTATATTTCAAAAGTATAGAAGCTTAATTAGTATGCTGGTAGGTTTCCTCAAACATTGACCTCATTTTCATGGTTCAGTGGTCAATGTTAAGTGTTCTTGGTTTGGTCCGTTTCTCAGATACTAAAAGTAATAAGTCAACCATATAAGGTGTATGGAATGATTGTAAGGTGTACATGTCTGCTATATTTATATAGTCAGGGTTCATCTTACCTTAACCTCATTTTCATCGTTCAGTGGTCAATGTTAAGTTTTTTGTGGTTTATTCTGCAACTCCGATAATATAACAATAGGTCAACTTAATTTGGTGTATGAAAGTATTGCAAGGTGTTAATGAATGTGTGCCAAGGTTCACCTGACCCTGACCTCATTTCATGGTTCAGTGGTAAAATATTGAGAGATTGCGGTAAGGTCTGTTTCTCAGATAGATAATATAAGCACAATCAGTTAACAATATTGAGTGTATTGAATGATTGTAAGGTGTGCATGCTTGTCTGACAGGGTTCATCTGGCCTTCACCTCATGTACATAGATCATTGATATGGTACATGTATTTGTTATAAACTTTTATATCTTAACGACTTTCAATTCAAAAATTCAATCATGCTCAGTTTCACAGGAGAGACATTTAAGCGTGTGCGCTCTTGTTACGTTTTGGCTGAAAATTGGAAACTCAAAGGGTAAACACTATGCCAAACTTGCGTATGAGTGAGCGTGTGTGTGTGGTGAGAGACAGGAGGGATACATACACCAGTTCGAGAATCTTGATGTTAATGGTGAAATATTGCTATGAATGTTCATACTATTATACTAGTGTTTTCTGTATGTCAGCATGTGTCATCATTATAGGTACTTGTCAACAGGTGTCATCATTATAGGTACTTGTCAACAGGTGTCATCATTATAGGTACTTGTCAACAGGTGTCATCATTATAGGTACTTGTCAACAGGTGTCATCATTATAGGTACTTGTCAACAGGTGTCATCATTATAGGTACTTGTCAGCAGGTGTCATCATTATAGGTACTTGTCAACATGTGTCATCATTATAGGTACTTGTCAACATGTGTCATCATTATAGGTACTTGTCAACATGTGTCATCATTATAGGTACTTAAGGATAAGATTTGGTAAAACCATTATTTCGCAACTTCCATGCCGAACGTGTGGACAAATTAACATAAGCATAAAGCTTTTTATTGTAGTTTCAGCCACTTGTATTAGACACTTAAGCTACAAGGAAGTAGATAAGCTTTATAGGGATCGCCACTGTATAAAAAGACACGTAACACGATAAAGAAGATATCGTAATCTTAAAACGATAACACGTATTTGAAAAATATCCCAAGTTTCGTGTATTTACATGAAAGGTAAGGACGTTTAATGTAAATCTAAAGAGACCGACATGTAACTTAATTTTTAACATGTAACTTTTTCCGGTTTGTAATTGTCTCTTTTTTGCCGTTTGTAATTGTTTTTTTTTTACCTCTGTTTTTTTTTTGTCTGTTACAGGCCTAAAAGGTTCATTAATTATTTAATGGCTTGTCCTTTGGAACAGCAACGAGGAAGATGTGACACACTTTTAACTAATTCATCAGGACGCAACAAATGTGCAATGCAGTCGGCAAAGGTAAGCATCATGATGTAAAATAGAGGAGGTGTAGTATGATATCTAACAGAGACCAAAGGACGGGGAAGTACACAAATACAGGTCAAATTCACTTTACACCATCATTTTTAACTATTGATTTAAAAGGGTGGTGCCATTTTTTCCTATTTTATTTCATAACAGTCAGTTTGGCATCTTTACTAAACTGAATTCACAGTTCATAAATGCGTTTTGGTCACAGGCACTTGTCTCTGAGTTTCCCTATCTATACCTCTATATAACATGTTATATTAAAGTATATAGGTATTTTTTTCAGCCTGTGGTTTTGGTGTATATATGCCATGCTTTTAAGCATTCTAGTTAATGAACAAGTCTTAAAATTGACGTCTTTTATATTTTTGGAGAAATTTTGAGAAATTATCTAAAATATTGTAGGAAGATTATTCTAAACCGGAACCAAATATCCATCGAATGTAAGGCTGAGTAAATCTTTCAAGTTAATTTGTTTAAGGTTCCGTGTGGCCTTTAATGTTAAATTTTGTAAAAACATGTACATCGAACAATATTTTATGCATGTGCAAATAAAAAAAAATGTCGAAATGGCAGGGGGAACTTTTGGAATCTTTTAATATTTTTATATTTTTTTAATCTTACAGGAAAACATGTATTAACATATTCTGACAGTTAAAAAATGGTATTGCAACATAAGCTTAACAATCAAACAGTAACATTATAATAAACAATGATATCAGCTAAAACTGCTAAAGTTGCCTACTTTTCAGCTTCATTTTGACCATGAATGGCTATATATAGATGGCGCTCCATTAAGAGACTAGTATCATTGAGTATTCATAAAAAAAGAAACAATTTGTACAGAGAGAAGTTGTCATGAAGGTAGAATGTAAGTAAAATTTGAGGTCAATATGATAACATTGCATTTGTAGCCTTTTGCATGGTTTTCGGGCGGATTGGTTCACAATCTCATAGTCTGTGCTCTTTCTCTTTTTAGAAACCAGTCTAACATATGGAAGCAGAAAAGACTAGAAATAACAAGGTATGAGTTGTGGCTTATGTGTGATTACTAATTTTCTAATTTCCTTTGGACAAACAAGCAAGAAGATATCTAAGTATCACTAAAAAGTAAAACTTATCTGAAGACGGTTATTTTTTTTTTAATTGAGGTCGAATAACATATTCTTAATTTCGTTAAAATGACTATATAATGGGTGTTGATTTAGAAGGTTTCACTAGTAAAGGCCCAGTCTTTTGAAAATCAGTTTTTGTAAACTATCAAATATTTGGAGAAAAAAAAATACATTGACTTAATTTTAAAAAGGCTTGCATTTTAATTAATCATATATATACATTCGTAATCTTATACTTATTTTTCTTTTCCATTTTACAAAACGCGAACATTTGAAGAACAGATGAAGAAACAGAAGAGGAACATATACAGAGAAGACACAGATGGAGAGAACTGAAAGACATGACATGACTGACAAATTACAAGGACTCTCACGGGAGAGCCAACATCACGCGAGACATGATAGGTTCATCCCATCCTTCATTCATCATCACCAATCATTTACTAATTATAAGATTTATTTCCAGGTTTCTAAACTTCTAAAAAAGGGCGTTTATAATTTACTTTACTATGATTTCAGAATCAACTACAGATAGTGTTAGATGGAACTTGACGTCTGTTCCGGAGCGCCATGATGTTAGTTGTCTGTCCGATTCCATATCCGTGTTTATTCCATCAGATCTGTTGTCACATTATTATTCGACATGGCGTGATCCTCACTGCCAAGTACAGGACAACGGTACCCATTATGTTTCGACCATTTCACACACATCGTGCGGAACAACCGTGATCTTCACCAAGGATGAAGTCATATTCGAGAATGAACTAATTCTACACAAATCTGGATCATCAAGCAATCAAGCATTAACCAACAGCTCTATCGACTTCGATAGTCCTAATTCTGAGGTAATTCCGGTGCAGTGTATCTATCCTCGAAGACAAAATATAACAACTTTATACAGACCTGCGCAGTCGCGAGTAAGGTTCTACGAAAAGCGATATGGGCACATGGACGTTCAGCTAGAACAGTATAAAACTGGCAAGTTTGTTACCCCTCTTCCAGTCCATTCCTTCCCAAACGAAGTAGAAATAAACAAGGATATGTATTTCATACTCCATGCAATGCATGTTAATTCGACAGATGTGGCAGTAAAGGTGGACTCATGTGTGGCAACACCGTCAATTATGCCGGCGGATGGTCGAATTTATCAGCTTCTTGACCACGGGTAAGCTAATAAGATGAACGATTGTGGCCGTATTTAAAATTCCAATCGGTTGTTTTTTCTACAAAATTTGAGGACATATTCGAAAAAAAACCCGGAAACCACCGTTTCCACTAAGAGGTGTAATTTTTGGGGTTGTTTAAATGTAATATAATCAAAGTTTGTTTGCTGTATTACCCAACACTATCAAAGGGACAATACAATTCACAAGTCGATGAAAAAACAGAATACCATGCCTAAAAAAACGACGAAAAGGCATGCAAAAGGTCTACAAAACATTACACAGACAACTAAAGACTTAGCAACGGGAACCCGAGTCACCAAAAACCGGGTTGGACTGATAAGTGCTCCAGAAGGGGTAAGCCATTCCTGTTCCACTATAGTTGCACCTGTCGTGTGGTTCCTGACATATACATAGTTGACAATTTGTCGCTTTCGGTGATGTCACAATGGAAATTTGGGGGAGGGGGCGTTATTAATAAAATGATAATTTAAAAGAGTCCAGCTTTACTTTTTAAGTACTATATATTTGGTTTTTTACTTTTGAGTTAATAACAACTCAGCAACGTTGGAAGTGGGCTTAAAACTTGAAATTCTCTCGGCGTAACTGATCATGACATGATGTGCACTTCCTGAATTTCTTATTTTAGCTCAAGTCTATACTAACCTAGAGGTGCACCTGAAGAGGTTAGCAACCAGTTTAAAAGAGCAATTGTATCTACCTTGATATAAAAGTTAATATCAAAGGTCATGACTTTGCACGACGGTGTTTTTCGTCAATACATTCAACTAAACCAGAGACATATAATAAGTATTATTATATGTCTCTGACCAAACGTAATCCAATAGTCAACCTACTTTTGATTACGAACATGAAATGTGGAAAATATGCAGCAACCCAACAAATTTGTTATTTCACATTCGCCAGCTTTGCATTATAAAACCATGAAGTCAGGATATTTTATCTCTTTTCTCCTCAATAAACACATTGTTTTTAATTCATTGTGTTAATGTCTTGTCCTCGGGATTCCATTCTGAATGTTGTGCTTTTATAAATACAGCTTGTTCGTATCTCTTTTTGTGCGAAACATGTGCCACTGGACGTTAAGTGACAAGCAATATTTTTCGATGGAAAACAATTAGCCACCAAAATGGAGTAAATACAACCTTTCGAAGTAAAACTTAGTTAGAATGTATATGTGTATTGTCCTTTATTTTATTTCAGTTGTCCAGCATCCCCTGCAGTCAAAGTATATCCATCATCATTTGATGAAGTTAGGTTCAGTGTTCGAGCATTTGAATTCCGAACCAGTCCAGGTGGTATTGTCTACATTCACTGCCAAGTTTCAGTGTGTTCTCCTACAAATCCACAGTGTGTCACTGGATGTGCCCACAGACACCGCCGTGATGTTTCCAAAGAGGACGGCGGTAGCCATCTTGTATCTGGGGGACCATATGTATTAGTGGCGGATAAAGGTACACAAATTATAAGGTGTTATATTGGTTAACTACCAAATATGGCTTGAAGCACACCGAACAACAATAAATAATGTTACTGACTGGGCATGCTTAAATCAATTTAATCTAAATAAAATGAGATTTGGGTTATAGACAGCAACCCGACAACAAAAATATCAAATCTAAGAATCAATACACAGGATTTTTTGAAAGCTTTAATTGATGGCGAAATTAAAAAAAATGCTAATTAATTAAACAAAAATTCATTAAAAAACGAATGTATAACAAACAAAGTAATTGAACTGTTTATGTGTATTTCAGGTGGTCTGCAAGTATCAACAGTTGTAGCAGGTGTTTGTGCAAGTGTAGCTGTGGTTGCCACTGTAATTGCTATAATTGGATGGAAACGCAAGTCTAGTGCCTCAACTTCCGGTTCCACATTTTAGAAAACATTGGAAAACAACCATATCAGAACAAAACACTTTTTTGTGTGTTTTATTTATATAATCAGAGAACTCCATGCATAATTCCTAAGTAATTAGAATATATGTGATTATCGAAACCCAGAACATAACACAAATCTTTTATTTGTGATAAATTATTTGTGATTTTTAGATTAATTTCAGTCTATTTACAATTGATTAGCTTTCAACCAGTAATTACTTACAAATTTCTGTTCATTTTTTTATATTCAAATAGTTTTGATAATGATTTAAAGACTTAATTGTGCTTATGTTCATAATTTTATAAATTAAAGAAAAAATGTTTTCAGAAATATCTGTATATACTTTCATAAAGACAAATACAGTATTTCCTTTAATGTATGTAATAGCCTAAACGACAAGCGGTCATTATATGCATACCATGCAGTCTTTTACGTGCACACGACAAGCATCCCCGGTTCCATGTGAAAGTGCGCATGTCTATTTCTCTTGCTCAATGTTGCCCGTTAGTCACTCACATGTGCCATAGTTGGGTTATGATGACTTGATTGCTAGTTAAATCTTAACAACATATAAATGTTTTTATACTCCCACTCCAAAGGAGATGGTAAACTTGCGTATCTCTGTCTGTCCGTCTGTCGATAATTTCTGGCGCATTGATCAGCAATTACAAATCACAGCATGTTAATATAGTATCAATCTTTAAATAACTATTTATACTGTGTGAAAAAACTCATCAAAGATACCAGGCTTATAATTGTGTCCGGCCGGAAGCGTTTTCTCTACCAAAGACTCATCAGTGACGCTCGAACAAAAAAGTTAAAAGGCAAATTAAAATACGAAGTTCATGAGCATTGAGGACCCAAAATTTCGAAAGGTTTCGCCAAATACAGCTGATCTGTAATGAGTCGCGGGATAACTATTATACATCCCAGCTCTTCTAGATTATATGAAAAAAACATTTACGCGTTATAACATCTAGTTCAGAATGCTATACAATAACTATAATATACTTTATATATTACTATATAGTATATACCCTTTATGAGCCCCCGGATACAATATTTAAAAATGTTAAATTAACAGTAAGTTTGTATCTAGTCGTTCTGGTTTAGGGGTATGAATCGTGGCTTCATATATGCTTGAGGTCCTGCATAGGCACTGGAAATTACTTGGATTTCTTCTACATATATTTTGAAAGTTAGTCTTTATTCCGCTTAAGTTTTATTGTGTGTTCTACATTCCGGCCAAAATGTTACAGAACAAAAGAAAGCATGCAGAACAACGTAGGGTAGGGTGATCCGACTCAGATCACCCCTGTTACAACAAAGGAGTTGGGATGTAAAATCTATTATTGTGATATGTTCAGTTCCTTCGATGCTCTGCTTCCCGTTTGCCGAAAACTATATCTGAAATGTCGTGAAAATAAATGAAATTTTTGCCACATTTTTCTAAGCAACTACACGTCATAGCTTCTTGATATAACACCAGATTCAGCTGTTTACCCATAACGATTGTCGACATTTTTTCATTTCCTTCGATGTCCCAACCTGGTTGCCGAACACTTTAAAATGTCATAAAATTGAGAATGGAAATGGGGAATGTGTCAAAGAGACAACAACCCGACCATATATGAAATTTCTGTCATATTTATATATAGCGAGTGTATAAATAGTCCACAAGAGCTACATAAGCTGCCACTACATCTTGTTTATTTCTGTGTTAAAATATTTGTTACACCTTGAAAGCAGTGTACTTGACATTTGTCTTTAAACCAAAAGAGAATTTGTTGCATTCAAACTAGTGTCACTTTAGGGTTTCGGTTGGAAGATCAAATGGACGGTTTTTCTGACCTACCAGAAACCGACATCAGTTTAGAAGCAACATATACGCCCTTATAAAACAAAAAGAGAATAGAAAATGAAAAAGAAAAAAATAACAAACAAAAATCCCAGCAATTTTCACTTTTCGATTAGAAAGTGCTGCTTAATATATCTATACAACAGCGTTGTATTTGTTTACCTTTGTGAGTTTTCTGATGCAAATTTGTTGAATTTTTCATTATGTATACATTATCAATTACTTAATTGTAATGTTAGAAGTGAGGAAGCAATATGGTAAAGGTATAAGTGTATTAATACAAGTATGGCAATAACCGTTATATATGCATTTTTTTTCTGATGGGAGATCAGTTTGTATCTATATCATCCATAAGGAATAAGGAATCGTCTGGATTTGATCCTACTCGCCATTAGGGGGAAGGGTTGAGAGCCCACATACATGTTCAAGTCCGCCTCATTCTTTATGTGCCTGGGGGGAGGGTTGATAGCCCACATATATGTTCAAGTCCGCCTCATTCTTTATGTACCTGGGGGGGGGGGTGTTGTTGAGAGCCCACATACATGTTTAAGTCCGCCTCATTCTTTATGTGCCTGTGCAAAGTCAGGATCTTGGTTATAACAGTACAGGAACACGTTTAGCTATTAAAGGGGCCAAATTGGTGACCATAGAAATACCTACTACCTGTCTATAAACTTTATTGCCGAAACGTATATTAGGTTGTCAAGGAAAAAATGTATATATAACCTTAATCGTCTCATAACATTTCCAGTTAGTATTTCTATATATAGCATATTTATTTGTTTTAATTTGATTTTCGTCCTGAATATGCATGAAATATTTGCCACTAACGTTAGATATGCAACGATCAATCAATATCTGATAGCAGTCAAGGAACTGGTTTAAAGGACAGAAGTTTAATTGTGGAACACTTACTAGAGACCGGTATTTGCCCGGTTTTTATGTAATAGTAGTTTATGTAGCAAATACATTTATAGTACGGACCTTCGCCGGAATGTTCAGATTATGTTTTATACGGATAATGTGGTATGAAAAATGATTGTCTACTATTTGACTTTTATTAGATCATGTGGATGTGTAAAGGAATATATAATTTCATTCTCAAGAACCCCGTGTAATATTTCTGTCATATACCACTATTTATACCCGAAATTCTTTCTTTCAGTGATTGTCGGCCACAAGTTGAACAAACATAAAATTTTCAAATTTCCGAGTACTTTAAGTTTCATTCTCAAAGAAATGGACCCTGTTTTATTAATTTCTAAATTATTTCAAACTGATGTGATCTGCGAATATCTATACTATCATACATCTATTGAAATAAGAATCTTGTGACTTTGTTTTATCAGATTTCTCCCGTGATATCAAATCAGTTTACAATAGGATGAAAGAACATCTTTTACCAGTGGCGGATCCAGAGGGGGGCGTAGAGGGCGTACGCCCCCCCCTTTGCTTGCACTTTTTTTTTTTTTTTTTCGTAAAATGATTAATCAGACTAGACTTCGTGAACTTTGCCATTTCCCGTGTATTTAATCTTTATGCGACAATTCTTTACTTATAAAGATATTTTTCGCTCGTATTCACTGTAATATATTATTGATTATGTCAAAGTCATGTGATTCTCTACGGTGGAGTTGACCAGTTCGTCGAAAAAAAACGTCACTCAGTCATTTTGAAATTCAAATTACAGTAACACATTGCTTAGGCTGAGGATGACAAGCATGACGCCTTCAAAGCGACAAAGTATTGAACAAGAACGTATTGACTTCTATTTCACAATTCCACCCAACAGAAAGTAATACTCTATTACACTCTCATGAAAAAAAAGTTCCACAGCAATATTATTTACCTACGAAAACATGTTTAACCCCACACGCTCCAGTCCATTATTAACATTGCTGAATAGTGATCCCCAGTCAGTAAGCTCTAGATATAGATTTAAAGTCTAAGGCATTTGATCTGAGGGGGCAGTCTGAGATATTTTAGAGAAAAAATTCTGACCCTGATTTTTGCCTTAAACAAAAATTCTGGCCGTATCTGGATTGAAAGCAATAATCTTGTCCACTTTTTGCTATTAGAAAAAAATATTTTCAACAGAATTATTTAGCATTAAATGAACATGATGAATAAAAAACGGGCATATTTTTTTTGGGGGGGTTGCATGTGAATCCCATATCTGACCGGAATGTCTGTTTCGAACTGATATACTGAATACTTTTTTCAAGGCCCAACTGCAACCTGCCTGCTGGTTGTGGCCTATATGTATCCATGTGTCGACCATCATTCACAACTTCATTGTCATTTCCGACTCATTCGTAGCCTTTGGTTGATTTGGAACCCCTCACTTCCCTTGTTGGGTGAAACATTTCAACCAAACAGTTGGATGAAAATTGCTTGTTTGTCTTTCTTCGTGTCGGTCGTATTGTAAATTTCATTGAATAGCCGTATATCTTGTTAACTACAAGAAATCTGTGAGGTTATGTTTACTAACCATACAACAAACGAGAATTTTCCATGTCCATTATTTACTGACAAATCCCACATCAAATATATTAATTAGTACATAGCTTTGGATCCATCCAATCATTTCATAATAGACAATTGATGGAGAGAATACGGCACCAAAAATTCCAACCCCTACACTTTAACTATAAAATGCATTTTACACTTATTTTATGTTTTTTAGCCAAAAAAAGGTCCAAAAAAATTGCCAAAAAAATTTCGCCTCGCTCCGCTCGGCAACCTTTAATATTACGCCCCCCCTTTCCAAAATCCTGGATCCGCCCCTGTTTACACCCCAGTTCTATTGTTATACTTCATAGTTTCTATTTCTGAAACAAGTGTAAATTGAATAGACCTATTGTTACGAATAACAATGGATTTTGACCACAGGGTGTGACGAGCGGGGTTTCTGGAAACCCCTGCTTCTACATCCCGAAAACACAGTCCATTGTTATTCATAACAATAGAAATTGTTTTTTTTAATAGCATGAACATAAAAGATTACTAATAGTCTTCACTACAAATTGTTTCAAGATATATTTAAAAAAAAATATTTTAGGAAAATCCAACAGCGAAAAAAACATTTAGCATCTATTTTGAATAAAAAAAAATCATGCAAATACTCCTTTGCTTGCGGCTAAAATTGTAATTCAATATGACAATGTCTTGAAGAACATACATGAAGAGAACTTTTATTTAAATTATACATTCTAAACATATAGTTTTCATTTGGACTAAGTCTTAATCATTAAATAAGTATTAATGTTTGGATTGTTGAAGACGAATGATGGCACCCAGGGCCGGATCCAGTCATTTTTAAAAGGGGGTGCCAACCCAAGATTAAAAAAAAAGGAGGGGAGGTCCAGCCGTATGTCCCCATTCTAAAGCATTGATCGTAAAAATGGGGGGTTCCAACCCCCGGAACCCCCTTGAATGGCCCCAAAAAGGGGAGTACATACCTATGCAATCT